AGAAAATGCTTATGCGATACGTTTCCTCTGCTTTTAGACACATAAAAAGACGGTTCTTATATCCTTTAGATAGATTTTGAATTGCTTTGGTGCTCTATTTATGACGTTTTTTTTTATATCTGTAAATCAGGAAAAATGGATTCTTCTTAAATTGGAGTACTAGTCCTATTGGATTTTAAGAACTTACTTGATCCTTCTAATAACTATTCATGTTTAAACTATATAAATCATTTATAAATTTTATTTCAGGCTGTTATATTTTCTCAAACTAGCTCAAAGAAAAACATAGTATGACTATTTATTATATTACATGCTTTTGAGAATGATTTTATATCGTTGTTAGGCTGGTTTTATTCGCTAATACAACACCGGCATAACGACAACATATACAAAAGTCACTTTATCGCATTCCATAAAAAAAGGGGAATGTAAATTTTTTAAGCATTTGTCAAAATGGTCTGGCTTTGTATTTGTTAATAAAAAGCCAACATAACCACAAAATAGAATATTTCTCAAAACGTATAACATCACATCATTTTATCGCATTCGGTTAACAAAAGAGGAAAGTAAGTTCTTCAACGCGTATGTCAAGAAGTTCCGTCAGGAAACGCTTAAGTAACTTCAACAAAGAGTGTGACGGATGCATATCCTTCCACATCTACTCTATAATCTGCCTGTTAATAAGTGACTTCACGCCACAAGGATTAAGCTTAACGTAGGCCCACGTCTGATGAAATAAAAACTATTGTGAAATTATACTCAAGGATACCATTGTATTGTTCTAATATAATGTGTTTTCGATTCATATTATTTTATATATAACTATTTTTTAGTATCAATGCTATATTTTACAAAAAGGCAAAAATAATACAAATTTTTATTTTCTTGAAAATACAGCTCACCCTCCCATTCGAGGCCTGAACCTGGAAATCTGGAGTGGTCTTTGGGTTTGATCTCCACTAGGGCAGGCTTATTGTTAAAATATTGACGATTTTTATTTGCTTCTTTGAAAAAGTGGTCTCGAATTAGAATTATAAGGTCTCAAAATGGAGGGTTCATTGTACAGTCAAAGGGTGATAGAGTCCAATCGAGTTTCCTTTCATGTGACACGTGATTTAATTATGAAATTTGAAATTAAGCTGGGAGCTAAGGAGTATGTCTGTTATGCGCTAAATCCTGTACTAGTCAAATATGAATGCAGATGTAGTATGACGTCAGGAAAGTAGCAATTTAGGTTGTTGGGCGTACCTGGGATATGTAACTTCTTTTGATGGCAGTTGTTTGTGCATTTTTGCACATATTGCTTTAATTATAGGCTATGATTGAAACCATTATAATTGACATATCTTTTATTTCATCATTATTCCCATCATCGTATCATCTTCATCGTCATTATCGCCGTCTTCGGAATATGTATCACCATCATTGTAACAAAAGTCTCCTCATACTGTATATCATCGTAACCGATGGATGTAACATAATATTATTTATAAATATAGGTATAGTATTATGTATTATCAGCTGTCTCTTATACACATCTAGATGTGTATAAGAGACAGAAATTAGACAACGTTTCCCGTCCACTGTCACTTTGTGTATAAATGCACTCGTGGTTTACTAGTATATTAGCAAATCTCTGTTGGTATTATTGCATTAGAAATTCTGGAAGAGAATATAAGGCAAGAAAAAAAAATTTGTTACTCACATCCTTAACTTTTCTATACTTTATTCCATGTTGCGTGTCATCGTAATTCAATTAAGAAAAACGAGATGATCCACCAAAAACATGTGCCTACAATCCAAGACTCACATGACATACCGACCAAATATCCGACAGAAATATGTAACTCATGTTTCGATAATAGTTTAAAAGAAAACAACGGCGCAAGTAGGTGATTTGCATCCGATAGACGACTACCAGTTAGAAAGCCACATGTTCAAAACTAATGAATCGATAAACCAATTAAGTCTATGTCGATTATACTATCAATCAATTGGATCAATAGAGGGCTTACAGAAAACTGTGTACTTGCAACTCCCGCTCAAAAAATGCTGCTTACCTTATGCTAGGAACCCCCCCCCTCCTTGAATATTGATTGCTAAGGTCCCACAAAACGACATTAGGGAGCTCTCGATTTGTGCGACGACGCGACGCTAAAACGGAATCACCCGTGACCGTCCTACCTGGCGTCCTACGTTCTCTGTATACGTGGATTTGGCCAAATTTTATATTTTAATACGCCAATAACGAACGGTAGAAAACCCACTTGGCAGCAAAGTTAAGAATTTTTTTAATAGTAAAACGTCTTTAAATCAGTACAACTATTTTCTTAAATATATAGTGTATTGCAACCAGATAACTTGCGTGGTAATTTAGAATGATCTTTTTAAATTTTATGTTTATGCCTAAAAACAACCTTATTAATACAAGAATCGACGTTGTAATTGTAGGTTGAACAGTATATCATTTTATTTTAATTATAAAATATTAAGAAATTGTCGTAAATGATTTCTAACTTAATGACCTTAAAACTAATTACATAGTCAGAGACAACTGAGTAATGGACGTTTCCGAACAACTTAGGATCATGCGAGGAATACGCGCATGTTTACGCACACTTATACGCTATTATTTTTTGTGAGAACTTAGCAACAGTATCCAAGGGGCGGGGCTAAGCGGGAAGGTCCATTAAGCAGAATATTATTATAATCACAATTATCAATATGTGGATGACCTTTACATAGAGTACTGCAATGGTAAGTCGGAACATCACTCTGGAAGGGGGGGGGGGGGGGGGGGGGGGGGGTGGAGCGGGAGAATAATAAATAAACATATTAAGATATCAAAATATGTACATAGCCTATATACAGTAGAACCCCTATTTGGGACACCCATATTTAGGGGAAAATTTTTCGGCCACAAAATGAGGGTAAGTACATCTTGTTTACACTACGACCAACACTCTACAGTTTTTATGGTCTTAAAGATGCAGTAAAGCGTGGTTTCCATACAATCGCTACACGCTATTGCCGACAGCTATCTGTGATGCTGATTGGTCGGTGGAATCGGGGAGCCTTTCCGACTGTGTCGGAGACAACTACGCAGTACAAATGATTGACATGAAAAGACTTCAGCGACAGTGTAGCTACTTCAAGGAAACTAAATTAAAAAAAAAAAAAAAGTGTAGCTATTGTATGGAAACCAAGCTTTATAAACAAACCTCTGTTAATACAATTAACTATACAGTCCTGAAAGTATATAAGTATATTTAAAAACCACCACTGAAATAGTGATTACTTTCAATTGTATTTCCTGGTGTATATAGGTCTGCAATACAAAAAAAAAAAAGATGCAACATTCGAGTGCCGTGAACAATGCATGCAGCATATAGATAATAAGCCAACCCTATTTCCCTAGATGAGATATCCTGCCAAATAAACTGAAGGAAATTTGAGCAAGCATGAAAGACAAATAACAGACTGAGTTTGATTGCTTCCATTTGGAAATTGGCAAACAAATGAAAAGATCTGTCAACACTGGCTATCAAAAAACTGCTGTATGACCTATGTATGTGCCTACATATGGTCATGGTGTGATGTCATCATGACCATATTTAGACATATTGCATATTTTTTTGTCAAATAAAATTTGATGGTCTAGACCGGGCTTAACAGACAGCTTTCATTTCTAAACTGGCAAACGAATGTTAAATGAGACAAGCAGTGGCGGATTCCAGGCATTCGAAATAGAGGCGCCCAGGGTGGGACTCTCACAGACAGGGTTCACCCACCTCATCCCCACCATCGGTTGAAAATTAAAGAAATGGCACTCTCAGACATAAATTTAAACAATTTTTTTCTCTCCATTTTTTAAATTACTTTGAAAAATTTAGGGGGAGGGGGTTGAGTTGGGTCAGTTAGGCCAAACCCCTCACCCCTTGAATCCGCCACTGACAAGCATATTATTTTTATCATATTGGAATAATGGGATTGTTTTCCAGTGTTCAGACCATTCCATTCAAAATTTAGGAGATGAGTGTAATTACTCCCGAATGCGGGATGTGCCTGTTGACATTAATGAAAGTTATATAATATAGTGCACCCTCTAATTCGAGACCACTCTAATTCGAGACCACTTTTCCAAAACCCAAATAACAATCTTCAACCATTTAACACAAAGCTAGCCCTCTAATTGGAGACCACCCAAAATTTAAAGGTCCCAAGGATGAGTCTCGAATTGGAGGGCCAACTATACCACAAAACCTCAAATTGAAGCCCTGAGCTTTTTTTTTTTTTTTTTTTTTTGCGAACTTTGGACGGGCTTCTCTTTGAGATGGGCTTCTTTTCGTGGCCACTTTTGCAAAGTAAAGAGAGGAGACTTCCTTTCAAAATGAAATCTGCAAATTTAGGAAATTAGTACTATAAAACAATAAATAGGGCCACTGTAACATCAATCTGCATCATGGAGTGTATCAACCGGCATTAAATCATCTAAACTACTGTATAAACCAAGCATGTTTTTAATTTATTTTGTTTCTTCGAAATTCATGTACAGTGTATGTACTGTACTATCTCGAAAAGAAGCCTATGTTATATCGAAAAGAAGCCCATGGGCCTATTTTTGAGATGTGTTTCTTTTTGAGGCTAATTTTGCAAAATATAGAGGTGGGCTTCAATTTGAGATGGGCTTCTTCTCGAGTTTAAGCCCATTTGGCTTCAATTCAAAGTTTTACAGTATTTATATTCTGGTCTTGGGAATGTAATAATTGTTAGCTGATTAGAAATTTGAATTTATTCCATTTACAAAAAAAAAAAAAAAAATTATTCAGGAGTATGAAGGATTTATCACTTTTACATACTACCGCACATAATATGATCTTCCTTTTTGCGGTAAACGCCATGCTCTAGTAAACCAGTTTTTAGGCTAAATTTATGGGTAACTATTAAAGTAGTATGTTGGATAGGGGCCAAAATTCTTTAAAAAAAAAAGTGTTTCTATGTAAAAATGGTTGAATTTAATGACTGAAATAACTAGTAAACAAGCACATAATATTTAATTCTACAAAAAAATTATTCATTTGGAATGAGTGTCAAAGGTCTCAATTACAAACTGATTACATTCAATTATCATAAAAAGCAATCAAAGCAACTCTTCCATTTTGGTATACTTAGCGCAATCAGCCTAAAATTACAAACATCTTCATGTAACAATAGGCTTAAAAATGCTTGAATCTATCTTTTACAATGCAATGCATATTATATCAAACTAAATGTTAGTTTCCCTAGGCCTCTCTGATCATGAAAATTAATGATGGTAGAAATCTGAAAGATCAAATCGTGAAATTTAGTCTTAAAATGTAATGGGTTTACAATATTTGTATGAATTTTCCTCTTGTCACTAAATCGGTATGAAACCCACCTTCATAATATATTTCCTCCTGTATACTGTACTAGGTTCCAGGGTTCGAATCCTATACATACCAGGAGTTTTTCCCAAGGTCTGGCATCATAAATGAGACATGATTATTTAACTGTTTTTGTTTTAGCCGTGTGCTGTGTGGAGTAGTAATTTGATTTGATTTTGGGCAATCTACTCTGTCAGACATGGGTATTACATATATTTATGAGTGGGGTTGAATGGCATGGTGGTTAAGGTGCTTGCCTTCCAATCCCAGGGTCCCGGTTCAATTCTTGTCACGGTTACAGGTTTTTTTTTCTCATGATCAAAAACCACTTAACACTCTAAGCCTCATAATCAGGGTTAGTCAGGGTGGGCATAAACATTAGTCGGAGGACCAAAGTGAACATTTGATTTAACACGGAGGGCCACACCCAAATTTTGATGTTCCCAGTGACCTCCAAAAACCTCCAAGTTCTGCTTTTACACAACTTTATTATACATATGATCGGTGTCAGGCCGTAAAAAACAAGGTGTTTTCTTGCCAATGTTGCTTGGCAGGCCGCACACATAGGTTTTTAATTCATTTTCGCGGGCCGCAAACAAATTGCAGTCGGGCAACACTTTGCCCACCTGTGGTTTATGTAAATTATTATGTTTATGTTTTGTGAATACAGTATATTGCCACTTAGAAAAAATATTTTTGTTGTAAGAAACAGCCTACACTCCCATTAAGTAAAATATGATAAATGATAAAACGACATGATTAGAGTATAAACCTTTCTACCTCACCCAATAAGAACACTAACAGAAACCCTGGATCTTTTGAATGGAACACCAAAATCTTATTTCTGTGCAATAAACATCAATAAAGGTATCTATATGAGGCTTACCATCCGAAAACCATTGTACATCGCTAAATGCTAAACTGAGAAATTAGCATAAGAATGTGGCTGTATTGTATACTTTAGCACAGAGAAGCTGTAATACTTTACTCATAACTTTGGCAATAGTAAGTCCATTCCAGTAAACAACCTATCATTTTAAAGCATTAATACTTTTACTCATAATGTTGGAAATAATAAGTCGATTCCAGTATATGACCCATCATTTTAAAGCTTATAATGTAGAGAATAAGCTGGTTTTAAGCTTTGTTGTATGCCCATATATGGTCATGATGTGCCTATATATGGTCATGATGTGCCTATATATGGTCATGATGTCATCTCATCCTGACCATATTTAGGCATGTCACATTTTTGATAGTCTGGACAGGGCTTTAGGATGGCAAGCAACATAGTTGTTACTACCATAAGAATCGCATTACCATCTCAAAATCACCAGCCAATAATTCATCCAGATGCCTCTTGTAAAACTAATCCAAACTCTCTATTCCTATCATTGGCTGTGAGAATCAATGTGTGGATCACTCTAAGCAAAGTCTTTCTATTGGTAGTTCATGATCATCAGCATGGTTGAAGTAAGCTTGATGAACCAACGATTGAATCAGACACTCATCACAAAATGGTGGAGTGATACGAATAGATGGCGCTATTCATCTAACAAGCCATTATATGGTTCAGTTATCAAAATGTTCCACCTCCTCGTTGAGTTATCATGTGGTGTAACTTCTCTTCTTTTACTCTCCTCATGTGAGCTTTCTGAATACGATAAAACAATAATTTATCAAATATTAAGATACATTTTTTCGTGTTGATCTACAAAAAACTTAAAATTCATAACAGATATATGATCGCTTCCTCCTGACTTTTAAGTCAGTGAACGCTAAAACAGAAAGACTGGGTGTCCGAACCAAGTTATCAAATTATCTTTGATGAAAAATTGTTGTATGTCCATATATACAGAATTGAATTGAACTGAAATCATTTGCTATAAAAGAACATTAAGATTCACATAAAACAGACAAGGGCAAAAAAATAATAAAATGACAAAGCAAAGGTTCTTTATTACCAGTACCTAAAATTCAGACAAAGAACAAGACAAAAATTGACAAGTTGCAATGTTGTTTATATACAGAGATAGCCCATGAGAGTAGTTAAAAACCACTTATTTCCAATGGGGTCCTTACATATAAAAAAGTAAGAATGCAAAGATAAAAATTCAGGACAAAAAAAATCAACATTCACGAAAAAGTATAAAACAAAGATAAAATTGAAAAGGTAAAAAATCATAAAAAAGGCACTAACATTTGTAAAACAACCGGACTGATTCAATGTCCAGAAAAGTCAAATAAGGGATCAAATATTAAGTAGTCATGCTGTGTGTACATAATATGGTCGGTGTCATGTGATGTCATCATGACCATATTTAGGCATGTCACATGTTTTTTGTCAAATAAAATTTGATGGTCAGGATAGGGCTTAAGAACAGTGCACCCTCTAATTCCGAGACCCCATTTAATTTGAGACCATGACTTTTTCAATAAACCAAATAACAATCTTCAATCTGTTAAAGCTAAGCCATCCCTCTACGTCAAGACCACATCAAACTTTCTAGGCATCTGATTGGTTAAGAAGCAGGCAATAGAAAGTATTATCGCACTTTAAAATGATAGTACTTTTTGGGCCTGGTCGCGCGGTGTGCAATCTCTAGGCTGCGTTGCTATATTATAATTGATGACATGCACAAACAGTAAAGGAGACGCGACCTCTACGACATTCAGAGAGCTTGGCCCTTTGATCGCCTACACCAAGGAAGTAAGCCTAGGCCTACTTGGTGTGTACTATTTTCATTACTATTTCAGGTCTAGTAGAATCTATTTATGAGGTATATAAAACAAATATTGTCTGCTCTAGATTCAGGGAACGGTGAAATCTACAGTATAGCCCCTTGGTAATGTGAAGACCGTTGCATGTCTTCTCGAGGGAAGATAGGCTACAGTCTTCACATCACCTTGGGGCAATAGATTTCGCAATTGCCCTCATGAGCAGTCAACATTTGTACACTACTTACTATTCTGGAATCCATAAATGACTTAAGGAATTCATCAGTCTCTAGGTTATTATCGAGGAAGCTCTGTGCCACATCTTCAGACTCTGTGTCGGCATCAGCTGCTGAAACTTTTAAATTGTATAAAATAGATTCTGCCGAATATTGCTGCAAAAAATATATCAAAAATATTAATAATCATAATAATATTAATAATCATGGTAATAATTTTCTGCACTGGATGTGTATGATGTACCATATAATAGCAAGGAAAATTCTTTATTTTACATTTGGAGGAATATGTATTTAGTTTAACCAAGTAAAGTAATGGGTTTACTCAGAATTCGTTGTTCAGTTGCAGATCCAGGAATTTGACCAGGGGTGGAATTGCAACAATTTAAATGTCTAGACCACTCCCACCATGGTTGGGGCTGAGCTAAGAAAATTTATGATTATGGCACCTCTAGATGACTGAAAATGGCTCTCTCAGATTTAAATTTCAATAATTTTCTTTTTTCTTTGGAAGGGGGAGGGTGGGCTGGGATCCCCTTGAATTTGTGGTTTTCTTGAGATTTATCATTACTGTATTGTTTATATAAAAGAGTATAGAACGAAAAAAAAGAAACCAACTCAATTTTAACAGTTTGTCCACATAGCATAGAAATAAAATAGAGCCCAATCAATCAAAAAAATATCACTGTCAAAGTTGGGCCATGGATGTGGTTCATTAAAAATTTGTTAACAATAATTTGGTAAACAAAAACTAGTAAAATTGCAACTTCCGCTGTAGTCAGCTTGGACTAATTGAATGATGAGCAAATACAAAGCCATAGTTCGGCTTGTAAGATGTAACCACCAAAAATAACTATCGTATTTATTTCCAAAAAACGCCTTGTTTTGAATAAACTTCCCCCTTGAATAACCCCACCCCTTCCAGATCCTCATTTGTAATAAACGCCTCCCTCGAATAAAAGCTCCGGGCCACTTATCTTTTCTGTTAAATTTTTTTTTGTACAAAAAACTCACTTTCTATACTCATTGTTATTACTGTATAATATTATCATCATTATCATTATTATTATCACTATATTCCTCATACCTCATTAATACTTTGTTGACGTAAACATTTCCTTTCAAAACTGTTCCTGGTTGCCATCATTTTGTCATAAGAATCTTTCAATTTCTTTTTTCTAATTTCTATTTCAGGTTTGTAACTCATATTTGTTTCTGAAAAGGAAGAGAAAAAAGGTGTTGAACCATTACAAGCATACACAACATGCAACCAACTGTACTCCTGGGGAGTAATTGTCAGGGAACATCCAGAAAAAAGTCTGGGTAGCAGCCGTGCGACAAGTGAAGCACTGTGGGGTGGGGTAATCATAGACACTACTAACTACTAACTAAATCCTTTCCGAGCCACTGGGGCTCATAGGGCTGGAGCTTATCCCCAGTTTCTGGTAGTGTGAAGCGGATGAGAGTTGTACTCCCCCTGGACGGGACACTAGTCCATCGCAGGTTAGTCCCCAGCAGTTTGCTGGTACCCATTGATACAGCTGGGTGGACTGACGCAATGTAGCTAAAGTGCCTTGACCAAGGACACAAGCGAATCTGCACAGCGGAGACTCGAAACCCCGACCTTACGATTGAAAGCCCAAACCTCAACCGCTGCGCCAAACTGCCGCTGCGTCATAGACACTGGTACATGGAATTTAAATAAAAAATTAGAATTGTTTTTGAGTTCCGGGTTCCTTTCTTTACCCCTTCTTTTCTTTACTTCTCTCTTCTTTTTTTCTCTTGTTTTTGTTCTATTGGATTAGACCCTGTTTTTAGTGATGTGTTAATAATGAATATAGACACTATACTGTCAATGTAGAACCTTCACATACTTTGAACTGATATAATAATAATAATAATAATAATAATGAATTGCTATTTATATAGCGCATATTGCAAGAAACTGCCTCTATGCGCTTAACAACAACTAAAAATGGATTTAAAATAAAAATAATAATAAATATACAGTAGTAGTAATTAGGTGTGGTCGCAAGTAGTGCATAGCCTCTTAAGGTCAACCATCCACCTCTGCTCTGGCGCAATCCCAGACCTCTACCTAGGTGGCGCGAACAAAGGAGCAGATTTCACATTTGCCCTCTCACAGACGAATGCCAAATAATATTATGAATACCTGTATCTCAAATTTGTAAGGCGATATCCAAACTAAATCAGAATCGATGCACTGCAAGTGTGTTATAACTCCTGGTCGTACCAATAAAGTACATTGGATGCAGTTAGAGCTCTTGATCTTAAGATAAGGGTTTGACTGCTCTCTGTGAATTTCATTTATCTTTGGACAAGGCACTTAAAATACCTTTGCTCTCTCCACAAATTGAAACATGTAAAAATAAAATAAGAACAAATTATTTTTTTTTACTTACTTGCTAGCTCTTCACAGGTATCATTTAATTTTGACCTTTCAGCTTTTAATTTCTTCAGTTGCTCCGAGTTTATGACCATTTCTAATAATTTTTCTTCATCCTCAATTAAAACCTTTAGTTCTTCTATTGAAAGATTATGTAATTCTGGATAATCGCTTGGCACTATATAATTCTGGGCGCCCTGAGAAAAAAAAACCAAATCCAGTAAAGATTGTTTCCATGACAATAAATGTGGCTAAACCACCTGTTGCAAAAATCAATTATTTATACAGTTAAACAATAAAACGAGAGCTATAAAATGGTAAAAGAATCATTTAAATCTGACATGTCGTAATATGAAGTTACAAAAGTTTAAACATACAGCTGTTTAAAGAACAATATTTTAGAAATCAGCCTTCAAAGTTTATGAGTTTGGGCATTTCTCAGGCAGAAACCATCACCAAATCATTAAAAATTGTTGTTTTAACATTGACAATGGGGAAATAACAGCATACTGTATTTCATTTCATTTCATTGATTTCGTCCTTGAAAAATACAAAACGAACAGAAAAAACAATACCAAAAATCAGAAACAGGATAAACAAAAAGCAAACTAAATTGCTGTACAATGTTTCTCCACTGATTTTGAGGAAAAATACATGAAATAAATATATAAATCTCTGTCCTCTGGAAGTAAAAACAAGCAAAAACTGCCAAGGCCTATAGAAAAAGTGAATATGTAAAAATTAAAAAAAAAATCACAGCAGAGCGCAGCGCAGCGCAGCACAGCATCATGTAACATGATATATAGATTATAAAGCCTGTTAGTTTAGTGCAATAAAATTGATTAAAAAAATGTTGACATTCCAGCATGTTTTAACCATTATCTCTAAAACAGGTTTGCGACGATTGACTTGTTTGACCCGTCTTCGCCACATATTAGAATCAGACTGGTTGATTGACTGAATAATTGAACCAGAACCTCTGCTAAGGCCGACGGACCTAAATAGCCACTTTGGTAAAATATTACACTATTTGTAATTGATGAAAATAGAAATAAATAAACAAAGGAAATGCATCCAGGACATCCCTTTAAAGAGAGCTCAAAATATATATATTTAAAATTCTTAATTCAGGTAGATTTTAGGGACTTTGTTCTCTAATCTAAAGTGAGTCATTAAATTTTTGGTACATTCCCTAGAGTTAAATTATAATTTGAGGAGGTCAGGCAATTGGATCTGGTTTTATCAAAATAGACATTCAATAATTCACTGTTTCGTTGATGCTGGACTATTCCGAGTCTTGGATGAAGGGAAATAAAGTTCTTGTGTATTGCTTTAATACTTTTTCAAAAATGTTTTTCTGGCAATAGTGCAATAGTGCGCATGATCAAAAAACTGTTGTATGCCCATATATAGTCATTATGTGCCTATATATGGTCATTATGTAACAATTCATAACCAACAGGTGTTTGGAAATTCATGTTTGCTTGTTTACAACCTTCTGACAAATTGTATACTGTCAACGTCACGGACGAACACATCCAGGCCATTGCAAGGGTTTCCGATTGCTTTACAGCATAGGAAACAAAAAAAAAATTAACAAAAAGACCACTTACTAGTGCAATACCATTTCCTATTGTGCTTGAAGTTGTATGATTTGGTACCGAGACCGTATACATGGGGGAGGGGCCATCACTGGGCATTGGAAACATGCCTACATTCCCTGCCCCTGTAGACGGTTGTCCGTACAAGTTCTGAGGGAAGTTTTGCATGTTCTGGGGATACGGTAACCCACCAGGCAAATGACTAGGTCTAAAAAATATAAAGATATAAATGATATATTAAATTCACATTTCAATAGATGATAACTTTTACATAAATTCATAGTTCAATCAAAATATAAGTGGAATATATATGAAATATAGATATTGTTCACCTTGCAAACATTTATTATATGTATATTATTAATTATCACATTTATTGGACTAAAATAGGGTGGAATTCATGAATAATTGAATTCATTAACATAGTATGAATATATTTAATAGACAGTATCATCATACAGGTTGCAGGGGTTACATATGCATAAATTAGCATAATTTATCTACTTGTCATCATACTTACTGTTGATTGCTTTCAGCAAACACTACAGGTGGATATTGCTCAAATTCTGTAACTATTTCTCTTATGACCCGACCTAGCACGGAATTCACTACAAACTGAAAACAAAAACATATAAAAAAGTAATAATAAAGTATAGACAGATTAATAATAAATTATACCTACCAACTTTGTTGGTGTCTGATGTGAGAGCTAAAAAAAAATATATATATATATATAGCGCCCTCTGTCGGTCGGTATAGCTGCGTTAAAAGAAACTTATATGGCCTGTATTCATATTTTAATGATGAATTCACTTATTTTTATAAATTTTATGGTATAACCACCATACATGTTCTAAAAAAAATTGTTGATGCGTGAGAAAATATAATGTAGGCGTGAGACATAAAATGTTGATGCCTATGCGTGAGACTTACCAGGCCCGTAGCCAGGGGGGGTTTTATAGTTCGGGCGAACCCCCTTTTTCTAGCGAACCCCCCTGTTTTCTAGCGAACCCCCTCAAATTTTTGAATGAGTCCCACTCGGACAGAATGTCTGTTTTTAACTTACCCAGTATTAAATCAAAATTTAGCACCTAATTCATTATTTGGTCACCCGTTTTTAAATTGTAGCCTACGATACAAGCCTACATTCATAGACTATCTCAGCTTCAGAAGTTCGGAGATTTAAATTGAACGCTAACTCTGGCAAACCATGACTTTACAATAGCTCACATAAGGATCATGGCAAACATCGATAAAAACTTTCACTGGCCTTTGGCTGAATGTTTGTAAGAAATGTACCAACTGGTAACGAAACCGCTGCTCTCTGCCTGAATAGTGATCGTAACTGAACAATAATGATGCAGCAGCACGCTTGGTCAACTTGTAAAAATTTAGAGCCTTCTGTTGTTTGCCCATAAAACAAATTTTGGAGTGTTAAACAGTACGATTTCAAAACATTGTCATCGTAAAGAAACAGCTATAATATTGAAAACAAACAACTTGAAACAAAATCGGTGTATGGATTTAAATAAATATTTACAATAGATTTTAATGGTCAACTTGTTATCAAATTTTACGACCAATTTTTACATACATTTGTGAGTGACGGTG